CCTAGTAGGTCAGAGTTAGGAATCCAAGAACCTGTGTGGAAGCGCTGTAGAAATTTCCTTAGACCTTAACCAAATATACACCTACCAAAGCAGTGATCAGTCACATTACGCACTTGTTGCACTTTGTATTTTGTGATTTTTGTTGACGATTGTACGCTTGGATCAACATTATAATACATTTGAAGTATTTCATTTCAATTTACTTCAGGTTATTTATAATTCTATTTTAGTGTATTACTTTACTTTCGTATTATTCGCAATTATGTATATTTTAGTTTACAACATGATAAATATCTTAGGTTTAGAGACGAACATGTCTGAGTAGTTTAGTCGGAGTCCGTAGTTTGAGTACCGTCACTCGACGGGACTCCGTAGGAACCATCGGTGTTCAACTTAGTTATTTTAAGATTTCGGTTCTGGTGGCTAACCAAAATTTAGCCAGTCTTGTCACGAGAGCGAGAGGCCGGTTAACAGTGTTTTGTCACGAGAGTGAGAAATACACCAAGGCTTGTCTGACAGAGCGAGAGTTTGAGGTGATCATCAGATAGTAGACACCGAGCACTGAGTCTGAATGCAGCGAGAGTGCTTCAGGTTTCAGTTAGGCCTTGCTAGTTTTCAAAGCCTGCCTTTTAACTACCAAGCGAGCGAGAGCAAAATCTTGGGGTCATCAGATGTGGTTAAGTCAATAGCGCGAGAGTGTGAGATCGAATCTTTAAACCAGTTTTTTCTATAGAATATCTTTGAGTCTTTTGTTAACACCCGGGATCTACGGAGTCCCTTAGGAGCACGTGGATCCTTCTTCGGACCCGTTTCTTTATCTTTTCAAGTCCCGTTTTAATTAAGTCTTTTTACCGCAAAAACCAAGCCTTAGCTTTGCATCGCAACAATTGATCACTCTAGGTTGATTATTAGTCCTTGTGGGTTCGACAATCTTTTAAAACTACGCGATAGACTATATACTTGTAGTAGTAATCCGACAAGTACACTAATTCGTGATCACTCAAAGCATCTGCTAAGACGTTAGCCTTACCGGGGTGGAAACTTAAGCTAAAATCATAGTTTTTTGAGAATTCCAACCATCTTCTTTGTCTCATATTCAGCTCTTTCTGTTCAAATAAATATTTTAAACTTTTATGATCACTAAACACTTCAAACCTCAACCCATACAAGTAATGCCTCCAAATGTTCAACACAAAAACCATTGCAGCTAACTCAAGATCATGAGTAGGATAATTCCTTTCATGTATCCTCAATTGTCATGAAGCATAAGCTACAACCTTACCATCTTGCATCAATACTCCACCTAATCCCATTTTAGACGTATCACAATATACCACAAAAGGTTCATCTAGCTTTGGTAGAATCAACGTTAGTGTTGTAGTCAATCGCTTCTTCAATTCTCTAAAACCGTCTTCACACAAAATATCTCATACAAAGGCCTGACCCTTTATAGTCAACTGAGTCATAGGAAGGGAAAAATTTGAAAACCCTTCGATAAAAATACGGTAATAACTTGCCAAACCCAAGAAACTCCTAATCTCCGTCACTGATTTCGGAGGTTCCCACTGAAGTACAACACATACTTTTGATGGATCCACTGCGATGCCATCACCAGAAATAACATGTCCCATAAAACTCACTTCGTGCAACCAAAATTCACACTTTGAAAGTTTTGCAAACAACTTATTATCCGTCAAAACATACAATACAATCCTCAGATGCTCTACATGGTCTCTTTCTGACTTGGAATAAGTCAAAATGCCATTAATAAAGACTACCACAAATTGATCCAAATAAGCATGAAAGATACGATTCATGTACTCCATAAATACACCTGACGCATTGGACACTCCGAACGGCATCACAACATATTTGTAATGTCCATACCGAGTCCTGAAAGTCGTTTTATAGATATCATCTTCTTTCACCCGAATCTGATGATAACCAGATATCAAATCAATCTTACTAAAAACACGAGCTCCCACGAGTTGATCCATCAGATCATCAATTCTCAGAAGCGGATGTTTGTTCTTGATGGTAACTTTATTCAGTTGATGATAATCAATACTCAACCTCATACTACCTTCCTTCTTTTTAACCAATAACACTACAACACCCCATGGTGACACACTGGGTCTAATAAACTTCTTATCAAGTAATAATCCGAGTTGAGATTTCAACTCCGCCAATTCTGACTCAGAAATTTTGTATGGTGCCATAGATATAGGTCTGGTACCAAGAACAAGATCAATTTCAAATTCCACCTCTTGCTTCAGAGGCAACTCGGAAATATCATCTAGAAACACTTATGGAAACTCTTTCACCATAGGTAACTCATTAATCGATGTTTTGCCCTCAACAGACAATGAGGCAAACACCGCAAAAAATTTCGCTTCATCCTCCAACAAGACTCTCAATTCCTTGGTAGATATAAAATTAGCCAACTCTTCCTCCTCTGGAGTAAGAAATAACAACCTCTTCCGATAACAAACGATGTAGACATAATTACTCTCTAGCCAATGCATCCCTAAAATAACATCCAACTCATTAAGTGGTAAGCAAATAAAATCCACTCCGAAATCTTTACCAAAGATGGACACGGGGCAATTTAAGCACACTAAAGATGTAGTGATCGACCCAATAGATGGAGTTTCAATCACCATTCCTTTACTCAAGATAGATGGAACAAGTCCTAGGTTCTTCACAAAATCAACAAAAATAAACGAGCGGGTTGCACCCGTATCAATGATAGCAATCAAAGAAGTGCTATGAATGTAACAAGTACCTCTGACCAAACAATCGTCATTGGTAGGCTGAGCCCTCACCAATGCAAATACCTTTCCACCGGTCTATGACTTCTTCGACCTTTGACAGTGGGTGCTGATGTGACCCTATTCAACCCAGTTGTAACAGGTAGGTATATTGGTCCTACAATCTGCCACAACATGACCTGGCTTTCGTGTTTGAAACTTTTCTTCACGTCATTCTGACATTCATTTGCTTCCCTTTATCGGCCGGAGCACTATAAGATGTATTCCCATGTCTCTGCTTACCCCTTTTGTCACTCAGGGCCTTGTAGTGAGAAACTCGAGCCCTGTTGTCTTCATCATAAATCTGACACATGTTCACCAACTTAGGAAAGTATATGATCTTCTAATAACTGATACCTTGTTTAATCTTGGGACGTAACCCATTCTAAAACTTGATACACTTCAAACTCATAGCAACATCAGTATTGTAATTAGGACAATACTTCACCATTTCCTCGAATTGAGTTGCATACTCTACAACCGTTAGATTTCATTGCTTCAATTCTAGGAATTTAACCTCTTTCTTGCCACAAACATCCTCTGGAAAATACTTCTCCAAAAACTCATTCTTGAATGCCGTCCAAGTAATAGGACCACATGCAGCTTCAAGCCTTTGATGGGTATTATCCCACCAGTCATCAGCTTCTCCATCCAGCATGTGCGTGCCTAATTGCACCTTCTTGGCTTTATTGCATCCCATGGCTCTGAAGATTTTCTCGATATCCTTCAGCCACTTCTGCACCACATCTGGTTCGTGTCTACCCTCGAACTTAGGTGGCTTGTTGTTCTTAAACTTTTCCAAATTGCAGAACTCGACATCCTCACCACTCTGAATGATGCCCTGCACTTCCTGCGCAACATCTTGTAATGCAAAAGCAATTGCATCATCATTCCTACCAGCCATAATGCTCAACACCAAAGGAAACACAAGTTAGAAGAAACACACGACTATACACACTCTATAGTCAGACTCTACTACTACACTAGCTGGACGGGCCGACCTGCTCTGATACCACTATGTAACACCCTAAATATACCCCCGCATAACATAAATAAAAATAAGAGTTTATTTCACAAAATCATATTTAGGATGCCACCATCCAACAAAACCTGCTCAAGTACATGACATGCAACACATCAACTTTTCTTAAAACAGTGGAAACATTAACAAATAGTTATTCAAATCATATGCATGGTTTTCAACTAATTAAAATAATCAAAGTTAGGAGATATCCAAAATCTCAAGCAAACAAAACATAAGAAAAGCATAAATCTCCATAACCTCGGTGTTACATATCATAGCAGACGCCAAACTAAACGAATAACCGGAAGACTCCAACTTTCACTCATATCAACTATTCTACTGTGAATTATCTGCACGATATCCATGAAAAGGCAACATTCAAGCAGAAGGCGTGAGATATCATAATTATATAAAGAAATGCATAATAATAAGTGAGAAACAAATTATTACAAGCACAACATACATTCCAACAACATATTCCACACCACCAACATAATGACACCACATAAATACAATGCAATGAGACTCAACAAATTGACTCAATGCATGTGGTACCGAAACGTGAACTTTCAAGTTCAATGCTCCGATCCCCACCTAGGATCAAAGCTCACCAAATGGACCTTTGTCCAAAATTGTTACCAAGTAACGCTTCACTAATCCATCACCATAGGAATTAGCTACTCGCACCCAATCTATCATCCTAGGATTGAGGCTCACCGACCATCGTACAACACCATGAATGCATGTAACATATTATGTATACAACACAACAACACAGACAAAGACCTTCACCATAGTCAATGTAACTCTCACCACTACTGGCCATCATGCACCAAACATCTTCCAAAACATGCAGCAACAATATAACACACGTAATTGGTATCTCCAAACACAACATAACACACATAATTGTATACACATACACTATATCATATAATTTTAATTACAAAAAATAATTTAAATAAAGCGGGGGGTTACATACTACGCCAATGATTCCAAATGAGGAATTTGCCTCAGTAAGAAGCAGCTTGAGTTCATGAAGGTGGTATGTGTCGCAACCCTCTTGATCCAAGAAAATACGATTGTAGTACCACTGCCATTGTTCATGAACCCACATTCCACAATCTTTAATAGCATCTTGTTTCAGGATAGAAGAATCGTAAAGATCAGGATACAAGTTCTTCTAAGTTTAAAGATCCCAACCATGGTGAAAACCAAAAAAAGAATGTGCCTCCGTCGCCCAACTTCCATGGCAATTGATTGACAAAACCTTCAGGTTTAATGGAATCTCCAATTATCATGATGTCGTTCCACCATAATGATTCTAATCTAGTAACACCTTGGACCTGTTTTGCAAGAGTTTTACTCTTTACATTGCCATATTTTGCTTCAAATATTTTTGACCAAATTGCATTAGGCTCATAAGTGATCTTCCAAAGCCACTTAGTTAATAGTGCAAGATTGAAAGCTCCTACATGTTTGATTCCTAAACCACCGACGTCCTTTGGCTTACAAACCAAAGACCACCTATCCCAAGCCATGCCCCCTTTGTCGCAAGTCCCAGCCCATAGAAATCTCCTCTGAATTGCAATAATCTCTTTGATAACCTTTTTCGGTGCTTTGAAAAACGAAAGGTGGTGAATTGGCATGTTTGTAAGCACAAAATTAATTAACGTTACACGACCACTAATGGATAGTAGTCTGCCTTTCTATGATGATAGACGCGATTTGATCCACAAAATGATAGGATTCCAAAAAGAAACCCTCTTGTGGTTGCCCCTGATAACTAAACCAAGAAATTTGAAAGGAAGTTTCCAGTGTTTGCAAGCCAGGAATTGAGAAACAACCCTTAAAAAAATCATCTTCTACACCAACACCAAATAAAAAACTTTTCCAAAAGTTTATTTGTAAATCAGAAATGAGTTTAAACTAGGGATGCTCAAATAAACCGGTTATTTAAATAATCCACATCCATATCCAAATCCGGTTATTAAAAACCGGTTAATTATTAGTATGGTTTTAACCAAATCCACATTTTAGATATAATTTTAAAATGGTTTTAACCAAATCCATAATTTGGACATCCATATCCAAAATAAAAACCAAATTAGTCAAAATTTTAATAAAAAAAAAAAACTTTGAAAATTTGTTTCAAAAGAAAAATATTTTTATTTTAAAAAAAAATATTGTTTTAATTTTTCAGTAAATAAATGATTTTCAAAAAAAAATTTAAAAATGATTTTTTTAAAAAATTTTAAAATAACTATTGTTTTTTTTAACATCAATATTTTTTTAAAAAAATATTATGTTTTTGAAAAAATAATTATAAGGTTTAATTTAATTTTTAAAAATTATTAACACAGCTTTAGTTATTGAAAAAAAGGGGTTTTTTACATTTTGATGAAAAACTTATAGAAGAGTGAAAATAAATGAAAAAAGAAAAAAATATTAAAATATAAATAAGTTGTCAAGTAGTTTTAAAATTAATCATTATTAGTTTATAAATATCAACAATTATTCATATTAATACATAAATAAATATAAAATATTATCACTAAAGATCAAAATTTAAATCAATCATTCACACTCATTTAACTCAAAACAATTGAGTTATATCACTCACTTTAATTATTTAATTTGATACATGAGAAAATAAAATTAATTATAATAGATAAAAAAAAGTGAGATTATAAAATGACTTATATGTCTTTTAAACAAAAATTATATATGATAAAAAATAATAAAATATATATTTCATTACAATCAATGAAAAATTACAAAATATAAAAGTTAGTATAAATTTAGTAACTAACGATAAATAATTAAAAACTAACATTCTTTTTATAAATTTACATACTACCTAGGATAAAGATTAAAAGAAAAAAATGTTAGTAGATAACATGTGATTTTTTTACGGGTTAATAAATTGCTATGTTTAAAAACAACCTTAATTATTTTTTAATAGATAATTAGAACTGACGTTATTATGAAAAATGCAGGTGTAGACAAAAACAAAGTTTAAAGCATTAGTCACAGAACGAGTAAAAATGCACAAGGGCCAATGATGCAATGAATATTATATTTTTGAAAAAATCAATTTTAAAATCAAATTCAATCAAAATTAATTATAAAATTGGTTATGGATATAACTGGTTAATAACCGTTTATAACCATTTTAAAAAATAAAAACCGGTTATGAGAATTGGTTTTAATAACCGGTTATAACATATGGATTATTTATGGTTATGGATTGGTTATAGAAATTCACCATCCATGAGCATCCCTGGTTTAAACCCTCTAAGGATGGCCTTTAAACCCCCACAAACTTGACCAACTCTTCTCGCATGCAACGATAGTGTCGTCTGCGAATTAGAGTAAGTTAATGGAAATATCACCAATGATATGAACCCCAGTAAACATGTTTTTATTTGCATCCCTCCGAACCAAATAAGCCAAGTGTCGCTACTACGAAAAACGAGGTCGGCAAGACAGAAGAGTCGCCACCTTTCGTTATTTATCCCTCAGAGCAGGAAAGGAAATGATCGGAAAAAACCTGACGAAAAGAGAAAGGAATGGTCATCGCAACCAAGTCCTGGATTCGGGAGTCGGTTACGCAAGGGGAAGGTATGAGCACCCCTCACGTCCATCGTACTCAATGGGATCCATGCTTGTTGTGTTTATCTGACGGGTTTGTTACATCTATCTACACTAAAGGTCTGGTCTGAAAAGAGAAGAAAATGACTCGGCAAAGCGTCGCAATTTATGCCTACGTATTCCCGTCTGGAACGAGAAATCAGAGTCAACGTAGTTCGCCTAACTACGGGGAAAGGTTGCTCGCCAAGATATCGCATCTTGTGCCTACGTACTTTCACACAGCGCGAAAGATCAGAGCAAACGTAGTTCGAGACAACGAGAGACACAGGTTTGTCTTTTTTATCCGAGTAAGGTTAACAGACGGTTCCAGCAGTATGGTGTATGCAGCTCGCTCGACGGAGACTTAGGCATTTACCGTTTGCGGTAGAATCGGGAGTTAACAAAACTCTCCTTTTGAAAAGGGTTTCCAAGGATTAAAGGGTCCAAGAGGACAAAAAGATGTTTGATCTTTGTTTTCTGTTTTTTAGAGAAGTGTCTTTTATGGATGTTTGCAACTGATATCGCACTAGAGACTATGACCTGAGAGTGAATGCGTCGCATGTCACCCAAAGGGCGCTATACTAAACATCCAGTCTGTTGAAAAGAAACTCTCCAACAATCCTTTCTCAAGTAGCTTAAGGCTCGTAACGTATGACGTCAATTAATCTTTATTATTGTATTTTGATTTGGTTTGCAGATGAGAAGAGAAAGGACACAACTAAGGGGAAACTAGTCCAATCCTAAAGTTGTCATGCCAAATTGAACCTATGGTTGAGGTTAGGAGGGAAACTAACTAATGTTATCATGCATGGTTAGAACCCTAAAGCCTGTCATAACTTCTCTTGAATAAGAGAAGTCAGAGTTCCTAGGGGAACATGGCAAAGGAAAACAAACAGCAAAAGAAATAATCGTACAGAAACAAACTGTAAATAAAATGCATGCAATGCAACAGACAAGCAGAAGGAGCCAAGCTCAACTTCTAGAGCAAATAAGCCCAGAGGAAACACACAAAACACAGGCAAGGGAGATAGACTCAACCTTAAGCCAGCAAGCAAAGCCAGTCAATAACAGTCAAGCAGAGGGAGACAGACTAAACCTCTAAATGCAGACAAGCAAAGGGAGCTATTCTCAACCTTTAGGATGCTCTTAAGCCTAGATTACTATATGAGAAACCTAGTCTAATGCAACACACAGTCAATCATTCACACAAGCAAAGCAGAGCAGCCAGAGAAATACAGCAGACAAACTAGCAGACAAACAACTCAACAGCAAAGCAGATAAACATCAAATAATCAAACAGTTGCAAGCAAACAACTTCAAGCAAAAACCATCTTCAAGAGAAATCTTCATCTTCATGCTCCAACAATCTCCAACACAAGGGAAGAGAATAAACATCAAGAATATTGGATTGATGATGGGAAGCATGAAGGAAACCAAAGGAATCCCTTCTGACACTCAACTAGTCATCTGAGGAAGGCATCCTCAAAGGTTCTACCTATTGAGAAATGCCACACATCCTTCCAAAATAAAGATGAGGCTTTCACATAGGGACCTTGAATCATAGGATGAGAATGGAAAGCAATCAAAGCAATCCATATTTATTGAAGGAAGAAAGTTTACTTCTAAGCTCTTCCTAAATCCTAATTCCTACTAGCTTCAAGGAAGCTACCAAAAGGGGATCAAAACACCAAATTAATTTCTAAAATTAATTCTACAGAGGCCTAAACATGTCTATTACATCACCAAAAGAGATTAGAGACTTATTATGCACTAATGGTTACCATTGAAAATCAACTAGGGGAAGTGCTATATTAGAAGCATCATAAGAACAGCCTAAGTATTAAATCTATTTAAAATACTAAAACTACTTCTAAAATCCTATAAATTTTTCTAAGGGATACTACATGTGATAGGTATCTATAGTAGAAAAACCAGAGCCTAAAACTATGCTTAAAGGCACTAAAGAAATCAGACACCAAAAGTGGTCAAAAGGGAAATCAAGTGGGGAAGCCTCTAAAGATCTAGTTCAAAACAGAACCTAAAGCTACCTAAAAATTACCCTAATCATTTTTTGGAGTTCCTTAATATGTCTATAACAAACCAGCAAAGAATTAAGTCCAAATTCTATACCAAATTCCATAACAAAAATCGGCAAGAAACTATGTAGTTTTTGGTATTTTATTATCCAACTAAAGGAGAAAAACGAAATCAAATTGAAAATTAAACGAAACTAAAATCCAATTACGCACAAAGATCATAGACATGATAAGGATCATCCACGAATTTTCTCATATTTTCCTAAGCATTCTTGCTATTTTATATGAATTAAAATCAAACAGCACACAAAACAGAATTTTAATGCCATTAAATTAAAACAACAATCAAATGGTTAAATTAAATCGGAAAACGAACCTACAGATCGGAGATTTGATTCGGTGATCGTTGATAAAGTGAATTTGAAAAGATCCGAACAAGATTAGATGGAAAACTTCAAGATCCACAATAATTCTTGCAAGAAGATGAAGATCGCACACTTCGAATCTGAATTGCTCCGAATAAGTGCTTCCAACTTACGCTCCAATATCCAACTTCAATTTGCACGAAAATTGATTACGAAACTTGATCCGATAATGATGATGAGTGGAGGTTTATTCTCAAGATTCCATTGATTTCAATGAAAAATCAATGGATCCGATGACAAGGAGCTATTGGTGAGGGTTTGGAAAATGAAGAAATTGAGAGAATTGAGAGAGTGAGAGAATTCTTGAAAATGAAAAATGAAAATTGTGAGGAGTTTTTTCTTTTTGGTTTGGAGTAGATCACTTAAGTACTCCTTAGGCTTGGATCCCAAGGTAAGGTTTGGACTTTGGCTTGTGAAAATTGGTTTGGAGCTTAATGGTATGATTTTGGTACGTAACTTCCTCTTGAAGCAATCAATAAAATAACCATTAAATATGACTCAAATTGAAATTCTAACAATGCCGTTGTGTTTAGAATGTCATTTGAAATCAAAATA